TCCATCGACTGTTAAAAAGGGTCCTTTAAGTCCTCACAAAACTTCCTGTATTAACGATTTCATAAGGGATTTTTTTGCACAAATAAATGCATATGTGACTGTAATTATCACTGGGGAAATTTTAAGACAAAACACAATCCATTTGTGAATCTTACCCTCTGAGTTGAGAGTGATGAGCGTTACGTTGTTGGTATTCTGAGATAACGGCTGGCCGCTGTTGGACACCGAATCGCTCGTTTCAGAGCCGCTTTCCTGATCTTCCGGAACCTCTTCCTGGATGGGAACCTTCAGCACTATCGTCTTCTGCCTTCCTCGCCCAACAGTACTGCAACGAAAAAATAACATAAATTACACAAGAGCTGTTATGGAGAGCTTGTGCAACAGATCCAGAAATTGTCTCCTGCATATATCTGAATTGAGCATGCATACATTTGCACACACAGGAGACATTTTTATTTAATTTATGCACAAAAACACAATCTGCGGCACTCACTTGCTGAGCAGGTTCTCTAATGAGTCTGAGGCGTGTGGTGAAGTTTCCTCCCGCGTCTTCGGTCGGTCTCCACTCACTATAACGTTTGTCTGAGGAACAACACTGACAGCAAACACTCACTGTTACTGTCTGACACTGTCAAAACTTTATATCACTGCTGGTTCTCAACTGGTGGGAACAACACAAAAAAGGTCTGATCCAATAATATTACATAGTGATGCTCGATATATATATAGATACCATAGCCATTTTTTATGTATTTATTTTAATGAATTTATATGTATTTTTTTTTTATATTTAGATTACCTTAACAGTCATCCAACACTCAAAGTCAATCTCTACAAAAATATATAGATACCATAGCCATTTTTTATGTATTTATTTTAATGAATTTATATGTATTTTTTTTTATATATATTTAGATTACCTTAACAGTCATCCAACACTCAAAGTCAATCTCTACAAAAAATATATATAATAATTTAATAACACTGTTAAATGCCAATCTCAAAATGATGATTAGAATCTTACAATTCCTAAATTCATTTGCAGAATTTAAAATGATTTTAGCTTTTAGTGTTTCGGTTTTTATTTATTTAGACAAAATTGTTTTGAATTTTAATACCAGCCAGCTTTTGAGTATCCATCATAACATGAAAGAAATTTTCAGCTTTTTTATCAGTATCAGACAGAATTTTTATATATATATATATATATATATATATATATATAAATCATTAATAATAATAAATAAAATTACATAAAATGAACCTAATCACATAACTGTGTATAGTTAGGACACAAAAACTAAAATATGCTTATTACCTTCAATAAGTAGTAGAAAAATCTTTTGTTGCTGATATTAAAGGCATGTATTATGTAATTTTGCCATAAATTCATAGCATTTTCATTTGATGTGTGATTTTAACCACTAAAAACGGAAGGGTCCAAAAATTGAGACATTACTGAAAACTTTTCTAATTTGCCAAGACTATTTTGTCAACATTTTTAAAGAATCATTCGATTTCCGAGGAAAGTGTAATATTAATTTATATTTTAAGCCACCACAAAATTAAAAGAATGATTTGGGGGGGGGAAAAACATATTTAATCATAAATAAATAATGAATATTAAAAATATTGAATTAATGTTTATCAAAAAATATTTAAGCTCTTAATATTAATAAATGGACCCAATTAATATGATTAATTAAATTAATAATTAATATTAATTTAATAATGTTATATATATTATAATAATATTAAATATTAATATAATAATACATTTGGTTTATTTCTGCATGATAACCCATTTTTACAGTCTAGGTCCTGAATCAGATGAGAAGTACAGCTCAATAAAACGTGTGCTCTTGTTTTGAATGGTGTTGGTGACTCAAGGGAAGGTGATGTTAGTTGACAAGCATCTAAGAAGGTTTGCAGTCATGCAGATCTTCAAATATTCCCCAATAAAGATCAACTGAACATGATTTTCCACTTTTTCATTCACCATTAAGTGATTTCATCAGTATCTAAAATCAATCTCGAGATGTTGCCCTGTGTGGTCACAGGTTTGAATTAATGGTGAAACATCTTCAATAAATGAAAAAACAAGCCCAGGCGCTGTTGAATAAAACATCTGGGCATCATCTGTGGTCCACTTACCAGCGTACTTTATCACAAGTCTGAGTGGCTCCAAACGGGGAGCCTGACACCATGGGGACCTGGATGGTCGACTGGTTTTTCCCCATCGCTGTGTCCAGCTTCTCGACTAAACCTCGACAGGTGGCCTCAAGCACCTGCAGCTTGGCCTCCATGCTGTCCAGCCGCTGGCAGATAGCCTGACTGATGGACACCAGCATCGACTGAGAGAAACACAGAAACAAAACCTGATTATGGCAGACGTCCTCGCTGATACAAGCCAATTATATTCTGTACCAGATGAACTGATCAGCTCTAATAACCTTAATAGATGTTTCTTGGCTAATGTCCATCCTTGCTCGTTTCCTGCCTGGTGGATCAGCGTCTTCATTATTCTCCAGGACATCTAGTTTAAGGGGGGGGGGGAAGCACTGTAGAAAACCCCAAACACTACCAGCATGACCCATTAAACGGATGTGTTCATTGATTCAGAGGAGGACTCACCTGTTTGGTGTTCTTCATGATTCAAATCTGCCACTGCGATCTGGACTATCTCCACCAAATCTTGCTCTGCCATCATTCAAACCTGCGTTTCAGAAAGATGTCATTGATAAATAACTGGGGGCTTCTGGTGTAATATCAATATAATAACAGGGTTATTATAGTCAACTAAAACCAAAACCATAAAAAACATTTGCATTAATAATAATAATAATAATGCATTTTATTTATCATGGCCTTTTCTTCAATCCAATGCGCTGTTTCATTACTTGAAATAAAATAAACATTAAGTGAAATAAAAAATAAAACAAACTTATTTTATTTCTGGTAGTTGCCAAAGCAACCTTTTTTCATTTCATTTAAATAAATAAACCTAAACCTGAACTAAAAATTCATAAAAGCTATATAAACATTTATCTAAATAAATAAATGTGACAAAAACACACAACAAAATTACAAAAACTTCACTTAAAATTGAAATGAAATCAGAAAATACAAAAACAGAATTGCCTTCAAAAAATCTCATTAATATCTCAATAATACCAAATTAACACTGATATAATAAATATAAATAACACTCTATGAATTGTTTGCTAATTTGTTATTATTTTGGGAAGGATTAACAACTTTCATTTATTTCCTTCATTTTCATGGAAAGTGTTTTTAATATTTTAATATTTATATTATAAGTCACAACAAGGCAAATGTGTGATTTTTACATGCAGGCACCGTTGTGTCCTTGGCAAAAAATTCAAATTAAAAACCCGCCAAAAAGACCGCTGAGACCCCCGAAGGGGTGTTGTGGTACTGAAGGTGACCCTACACTTGTTTTGCCCATTATTGAAACACAAATAAAATGAATTGCAATTTTTTTGAAGAAACACTGGGGGGGGGGGGGGGTTAAAAAAAAATAAA